TCTTTTCTCCATCTTTTCCCTCCAACGTCCTCCTAAATTACAGTATGGATTTGACAGAAAATTCTGCATTTTAGGCCAGGAACAGTGCTTATCTCACGTTTTATAGAGAGTCTGTTGCATCGTTGGTGTAAATGCCTTGCTGGTAAACTGATGTATTTATACCTAACTACATCATTCCCATTCGTGTTTTTCTTCCTGCCTGCTGGCACAGTTTGGGCTCTAAGTGTGCAGCTTCAGGCCCTATTCCTGCAATATGCTGTGCATCCCTCAGATACGAAGTCTAAGGTTGCTGGGACAGCACGTGGGTCTCTAGGTAGGACTGCCAACAGTCCTTGAGGATTTAAGAACAAAATCAAACTAAGCCCAGATCCACATTTAATATAAGAAAATCAGATTTCACAGAATTAGGATGGGTCATCTGCTTAAATTAAAGCTGAAGTTAAAATGTGTGCTTTAGGGAAGGAAAATCTGGTGGAACTTGTCATACTTTCTAATGCTCTTGTGCATTAGAATTATTGCCTGGGTCGTTTGAGATGTATCTAGGATGGCAACAAGCCATCCATGTAAGAATTCATTGTCTTAGGACATACTAGCATATTGCTTATCTTAGAACTTTCAACTTTTCTTCAATTGTGGTTTTAGAGTATATGGTTGCTTGCTTTATTTAGAACTGTTTTTCATGCTTATGCTTTTTTTCCCCCTTTGCACCAGCTGTTTATTTTCATAAACTACTGGTTTGTGAAGGCAATTAATTGGGGTGTGATTATGTTTACATAGTTTGAGGGTTTTTTTTTGTTGCAGATTACAGTTTTCCAGAAATTTTTTAGGTTTACATGAAAAATGTCATGATTGATGAAAGTTTTTAATCTCCTGGGTTATCAACTAAATCCCTCCTAACCTAATTTTGGATGGTATGCTGCATCAGGTAGGTTTTTTTTTTTCCAGCTGGCTAATTTACAGTATATTGTATCCATAAACACCGTCCATCTGTTCTCTATGTTTCTTATAATTGTGGCATTAGAACACTTTAGCAAATACTCTAGCCAAACTAACTTCCAAGCTAGATTTTTTTTTTTTAAAGAGCCACTGTAACAAAGCACAAGCATTACATGATGACTGAATATAAACCATAAGATCAGCCGTGGAAGAATTTTTGTTATTATAATATGTTCATTTGAAATGGATAAGTTTGAGATGGAAGTGATTTAATTAAGAGGCTCTATTCTTTTATTATTATAATTGCATACCCTGCATTATCACAAGTACTCCTTCTGTACTCTATTTAGCAAGTTCCATTGAGAATGCTTCTAGAATATGAGTTTAGGGAAAAGCTCCATTGACTTCTAAAGAAGTTTGTTTTTCTTAAGACTTGTGGGGATTCATGGTACAGTTATTTTCCATCTTCTTTGACAAGTGACGTAGGGATTGATGTTATCAAGTATACCCAACACTGAAAAGCCCCTAGACTCAGAATAAACCAAAATGTAACTGGAACATGTCCATATGCATTTTTATTTTTTGAGAAATCAGTAATGTAGTATGTGCAAGTGCAGATGACTAAACGGAAGTATGATTGTTGCTCATGTCAGCATAACTGGGCTGGTTTCATCTATAGGAACTGCTAAGTGTTGCATTTCACAGGTGCAGGCTTCAGCATTTGCTTGTTGCGGATTATTTTCCTATTGTGGGTCACAGCCAGGTATTGAAGGGGCAAGAGGATAAGACCAGGCTTGCTAGAGATAAGCATGGGAATGGCACGCCAGTGTTTGAGGGACAATGTGCTAGCGAGGTCCTTCAGTCTGCCATCTCACTGGAGGTAGAGGATGGAGATCCATGCAACAGCAAAGACGCAAGGGTTATTGATGTGTTGGAAACCACAGAAGTGCCTGAGAATGGTCACATAGGAATTAGGGCTTCTCCCCACCAAAAAGGTGTCGGGATCGATAGCCCAACTGAAGTGCATCTACAGGAATGCACGCAGCATGGGCAACTAACAGGAGGAGCTGAAGCCATTGTGCAGTAGGAAAGCTATGGTATAGTTGCCATCATGGAAACATGATGGGATGACTTGTACAATCGGAGTGCTGCAATGGATGGTTATAAACTCTTCAGAAGGGACAGACAAGGAAAGAGAGGCGATGGGGTAGCGCTGTATGTTAGGCAGTGTTTTCGCTGTCTAGAGCTTAATGACGATGACAATAGGTTGAGTGTTTATGGGTAAGAATCAGGGGGAAGGCCTGCAGGGTGGATATCATGGTGGGAGTCTGTTGTAGACCACCCAACCAGGATGAAGAGGCAGATGACATATTCTGTAAGCATCTGGGAGAAGTCTCACAATTGCTAGCCCTTGTTCTTGTGGGAGACTTAAAAACTTACAAGATGTCTGCAGGAAATACAATACAGCATAGAGGAGACAGTCTAGGAGGTTGCTGGGGTGTGTGGAAGATAACTTCGTGACACAGCTGGTGAGTGAGCCAGTTAGGGAAGGCACCCCACTGGACCTGTTGTTTGTGAACAGAGAAGGACTTGTGGGTGATGTAATAGTTGGAGACTGCCTTGGGTATAGCGGTCATGAAATGATAAGGGTTCCTGATTCTTGGAGAAGTAAGGAAGGGAGTCAAGCAGAAATGCTACCTTGAACTTCTGGAGGGCAGGCTTTGGCCTGTTTAGGAGACTGGTTGACAGAGTGCCTTGGGAAGGAGTCCGGAAGGACAAATGAGTCCAGGAAGGCTGGACATTCTTCAAGAAGGAAATCTTAAAGGTGGAGCAGGCTGTCCCCATGTGTTGAAAGACGAACTGGCAGGGAAGAAGATCAGCCTGACTAAACAGAGAGCTTTGGCTGGAATGCAGGAAAAAAAGGAGAATTTATGACCTTTGGAAGAGGGGGCAGGCAACTCAGGAGGACTACAAGGTTGTCATGAGGTTATGCAGGGAGAAAATTAGATGGGCCAAAGCCCAACTAGAACTTAATCTGGCTACTGCCATAAAAGACAATAAAAAATATTTCCATAAATACATTAGCAACAAAAGGAGGTCTAAGGAGAATCTTCATCCTTTATTGGATGTGGGGGGAAACATAGTGACAAATGCTGGGGTACCTAGTGCCTTCTTTGCCTCAGTCTTCAATAGTCAGACCAGTTGTTCTCCAGGTACGTAGCCCCCTGATCTGGAAGACAGGGACAGGAAGCAGAATGAAGCCCCCATAATCCAAGGGGAAATGGTTAGTGACCTGCTACACCGTTTATAAGTCTATGGGGCCGGATGGGATCCACCTAGGGGTACTGAGGGGGCTGGCAGAAGTGCTAACTGGGCCACTTTCCATCATTTATCAGCAGTCCTGGCTAACCAGAGAGATCCCAGTTGACTGGGGGTTAGCAAATGTGACTCCCACTTACAGGAAGGGCCAGAAGGAGGATCTAGGAAACTATAGACCTGTCAGTCTGACCTCGGTGCTGGGGAAGGTTATGGAGCAGATTATCTTGAGCGCCATCATGTGGCATGTACAGGACAACCAGGTGATCAGGCTGGCAGGATGGGTTTATGAAAGGCAGGTCCTGCTTGACCCACCTCATGTCCTTCTCTGACAAGATGACCTGCCTAGTGGATGAGGGAGAGGCTGTGGATTTTGTCTACCTAGACTTTAGTAAAGCCTTTGACACCGTTTCCCACAGCATTCTCCTGGAGAAACTGGCTGCTCATGGCTTGGATGGGCGTACTCTTTGCTGGGTAAAAAACTGGCTGGATGGCCGAGCCCAGAGAGTTGTGGTGAATGGAGTTAAATCCAGTTGGCGGCCAGTCACAAGCGGTGTTCCCCAGGGGTCAGTTTTGTGGCCAGTTCTGTTTAATATCTTTATCAATGATCTGGACAAGGGGATCAAGTGCATCCTCAGTAAGTTTGTAGACCACACCAAGTGGGCAGGAGTGTTGACCTGCTTGAGAGTAGGAAGCCTCTACAGAGAGATCTGGACAGGCTGGATCGATGGGCCGAGGTCAACTGTATGAGGTTTAATAAGGCCAAGTGCCGGGTCCTGCACTTTGGTCACAACAACCCCATGCAATGCTACAGGTGTGGGGAACAGTGGCTGGAGAGCTGCCTCATGGAAAAGGACCTGGGGGTGTTGGTCAACAGCTGGCTGAATGTGAGCCAGCAGTGTAGTGAGGTGGCCAAGAAAGCCAGTAGCATCCTGGCTTGTATCAGAAATAGTGTGGCCAGCAGGAGTAGGGAGATGATTGTAGTACCCCTGCCGCACCTCAAATATTGTGTTCAGTTTTGGGGTCCTCACTATACGAAAGACATTGAGGTGCTGGAGCGTGTCCAGAGGAGGGCAACGAAGCTAGTGAAGGGTCTGGAGAACAAGTCTTATGGGGAGCAGCTGAGGGAAGTGAGGTTGTTTAGTCTGGAGAAGAGGAGGCTGAGGTGACCTTATCACTCTCTACAACTACCTGAAAGGGGGTTGTGGCGAGATGAGTGTTGGTCTCTTCTCCCAAGTAACTAGTGACAGAAGGAGAGGAAATGGCCTCAAGTTGCACCAGGGGAGGTTTAGACTGGATATTGGGAAAAATTTCTTTACGGAGAGAGTGGTCAAGCATTGGAACAGGCTCCCCAAGGAGGTGGTGGAGTCACCATCTCTGAAGGTATTTAAAAGACATGTAGATATGGTGCTTAGGGACATTGGTTTAGTGGTGGACTTTGCAGTGTTAGGTGAATGGTTGGACTTGATCTTAAAGGTCTTTTCCAAGCTAAATGATTGTATTCTGATAGCCAGAACATGCTAACAGCTCTGATACTGCACCTTCATAGCTGGTTTCACCCTTTGTAGCCAGGAGGACATAACATACCTATTGTTGCATGTGCCCCAGTCACACCTTGATTCTGCTGCGTTCACATACACATGGTCTGTCTATGCTCTTTGCTAGTCAGGGCATATAGTCCAGTTAAGATGATGAAGGAGAAAAATAGTGACAGTGGGCATAACATCTTTCTATTTAATATAGGCCAAGAATCAACTATTGCAGACAGACGTGTTTTGTCAGAAATATGGAGAAATAGAAGGTTGATGGCATCACCTAATGGGACACATGAAGAAAAGAACTGTACAGAGCCAGGTAAGATGGGAAAACTTTGCAGTGTCTTATAAGCTCTTGAGAAGTATTGCGTAGTACTGTTGTGACCAAACTGCATTGATATGTTAGGGTAAACATAAAAGTGTCAAACTTAGGGGGGAAAAAAAAAGGGGGGGGGGAAAGCAGGACTCTTCTGTGTAGAAATAAGGTTTATTGTGCTATATAATGCGGTGACTTTATCTGTCAAAGGTAAAAGTTAATGTTCAGGTATAAGAATGTTTTGGAGTCGTCATGAGACTTGTGTTGACAATTTGATTTCTCTGATTTGTTTCTTTTGGTGATTATTCCTATCCAGCTGATGCTGTATATATTGCACTGCTAATGAGGTGTACTCTTCTTGAAGCTATGGGTAGCTAAACATGCGGTGTTTGAGATACCATCTGAGCACAGTAATTTGTGTTCATTACCATTATACATTTAATCATGTTTTGCTAGCTTAATGATAAACTATGTATTTAGAGTAGGAATTTATATTGTGTGGAGGTGCATGATGAAATAAGTAATACGGAAACCCTAGAATCCATTTTACTTCAGCATATCTATCCTGGCCAGGTGATAATGATTGATTGAGGGCAGGGATAGATGACACATCTTAGTATCAGTTAGTCCACCATGCTTTCATCTTCTCATCTGTCTTTCCAGTGTGTATTTCCTTTCTTTCTCCTTGCCTTTCTGTGGTTTACAGTGTGTGGGAGACAAGACAGTTTGCCAATGGCACCAGCCAAATTAATTTAAAGTTCATTTAAAATTTTTTTTTTTTAAATATGACACTTTGATCAACTCTTTGATGGCAGCAGAGTCTGTGCCTTCTTGCAGACAGTGACGGTGTGAGGTCTGGGGTACTCTCAGCCCCAGGCACTAGAAGAGTGTGGAGCAGTACTTCCCCTCTCAGCTACACGTTTGTTGTAATGCTGAGGCACCTGTTGTATAGATTGAGGTTCATTACTGCGCTTCTGCACTTCTGAGAGAGGAGTGGAAGAACATTGCATAAAGTGTGTGGATCTAAAAGCTTTAACTGTATTGTTTTGATGTCCAAGAGCTTCTCTGTGCTTCTGTTAAGAACTTCGTGAGTTAGTTTGCTGTTGTCTGCATCTGTAACTTTATGATGCTATTAATTTGTCTGTCAAAGTTGTTCACACATAAGAAAGAAGAGAGAAATGACCTTTTGGAAATGTAATTATTCTTGATGAATAGTCAGCAAATACTATTCTTTCCCACTCCTCTTTCATTTTTCTCCACATATGTGGATGCATCAATGTGATCATGTCTGAACACATACTTAGCAGCACACCTGGAGCCAAACCAACGAAGGCCACAAAATCCTAGAAGGTGGATCAGAAAGATGCCCATCAAAGTTCTTGATGGGGATTTCCATTTAGTATGAATGATAACTTTTTTACAATGATATGATAAAACCGCCAAGAGAAAACGTATGCTTATGTGTAAACTGGAACACCAGGACCAGTGCTGACTTTTCCAGATGTTTAGAACCAATACTCAGCTCACTCCTTTCCTTTAAAATGACAAGATTTGTTTAAGAACAACTGGAATAAATGAATACAGCCAGGTCATTTTGATGTGCTTTTTGAAATTCAGGTCATTGAGGTGCACTTTTCTCTAACCACAAGAGCTGGACACAAGAGAGGCCCAAATATGCCTCAGGATGCTGAGGTTTTAAGAAAAATATCACGAGGCTTGCATTAAATTAATGATTTATAGCCACAGTGCTGGAATTAGCCTTTCTTTTTAAAGGTGTTTCTCTTGTTAGAACACACATTTACAGATCAAATATGTCACAGGATTGCAATTATAGCATTTTTTTAGTCACTTCCTGTTATTTTGCAGTTGCGTACAGCTTATCGCTTGTCTATCTTCTGCAGCTGAAGGGGGGATTTAGATACTGCAAGAGTGGCTAGATACAAGATAGCTGCAAATAAAGGGAGCATCTGAAAATACCTGAAATGGATGTTTGTTGGACAGGAATGGATCTGTAAGAACTCATGATTGTTATTGCTCAGTAACAACTTCTATAGATTTAGGTTTTTCTGTGTGTATGGGGAGAGGTTGGTTTGCGTTTTGGTTTTGGTTTTTTGTGTTCCCTCCTCCCGCCCTTCTTGTCTGGTAGCCAGAGACTTAAGATTTGCCCCATAATGAGAAGGAAGGTACAAAGACCTAAAATCTATCAGAAAGGAGCAAGTGGCATAGTTTATCTCCATGGGATGTAGCTTGTGTAACCCCATCTGGAGCAAGTAGTCCCAGGAAAGGTTGAGACTTGATCCAGATCGCATAGAAAATTGGTGAGAGAGTGTGGATTTTCAGTTGGAATATGCAAGCTTTCAGTCATTTCTGTCCTTTCCTTAAGCAGTAGGCGCTCTACAAATGCATGGCTGTGTAGATGGTATATAGCAGTTTTCTTATGGGGATGTTTTTCTATGTGTATTTAGGATACAAGAACTTCATAATACCTTAGGAGATGCAAGTTCTTGCTGAAAGCCTGTTAATCCTTTGTGTCATTGTAGTGCTATTGCTGTGCTTCCTCTTTATTAGTTTCCGACACAAGTGTGCAGCTTTACTTCCCTTTTCCCAAAGGCTTTTGATGAAGTTAATTTATTTACCACTTCACCCCCTTTTCTTACATGCAAATAAAAAAAAATCCCCAGTTGTCAGAAACTGAAGCTATAGAAGTTTTTAAGACCATGAGATCCTAGCAGTTCATGATAGTGGTAAGAGAGGCTCGCCCTTAATAACATCTTGGGAGAAAAACTCCATAAGCATCTAGAAGTAATATTAGAAGCTTGTGGAAGCTGCAGTCTGCTAGAAGCTTACATTGACTACACTGGCTGAGATTGGCTCGTTTACTGAAGTAGATCATTCTGTATTGTGTTCTTCTGGAAACATTAATAATGCTTCTGGGGCCATTGTATCAGAACAAAGAAAAAAACTTTGAAGTCTTAGTAATGCTGCTTTAAAAAAGAACCCCGAGGCTCTGGCAAAGGAAAGGAAAATATTTATGTGTGTGTGTATATATATAAGAAAAGGAGAAAGGTTTTTCTTACATTTGGAGGTTAGAGGGACTGATATTCATGAATATCTTAAGAGGTGCTACGCATTTTTTTCTGATAGTAACTATTCTGCAGTCATAAGAAGTTATAGATACTATCTATGCCGTAACAGCAGCAAAAGAATCGTAGATCAGCTGCAGGAAGGAGGTGGAGCATTTGTGAGCACCAAGACAACCTCAGTTCTAGTCTGGACTAAGACCAAATCCTTACCTAAGTTAACATGTTGTGTAGCATTTTTCCACTGAAGATCCTTTCTGGCTTGAAGCTTCCCCTATGCTGGAAGCTCTTCTGCCATGAAAAAATACAAGTCTTTAAATTGTCCTGGAGCCAGGCTGAAGGGCTTACAGATTTTATGTAAAGGCTCTGGATTTAAAAAATTTCTTGAGAGCCTGGGATTTTTGAATTATGAATCTTACGCTTATATCATATTGAGTAACTTTTTGGATGGCTGCTGTGGGTATCTGTGTTTGAGGGAAACCAACTACCTTTTCTTTATGGCTCTGAAAACTTTTCCTGGGTAGACTTCTGCAGGAGGAGGGGTTGATCGCTTAGAGTGATCAGAACGGGAGAGTAGTTGTTTCTAGCATCTTAACAGATCTCATTAGTTTGCAACCAATTTTTTTTTTGCCTTGTTCAAGCTCTTGCTTCCATCTGCCATCAGCTCACTAGCTAGCAGTGCCATCTGCCCAGCAAGTATGATTTATAGCTTCTCTGCCCCGATGGCTCGCCTCTTGTTTCAGAATGTTCCCATGACTCCATGTCCACCAGAACTCCGAGTAACATATCCAGAGCAATTACAAGCTGGGGTGACGCGGTGGTGCGATGCTTCTAACCATGTGACTCCACTGGCTCGTGTTAGGCTGTTAGAGCATGTCTGAGCCGTGCTGCCTTTTTACTTCAGAATTAAAAGGCACGTTGTAGAAATGCTTTCTGTTCTTGCAGTGAGAGAGAAAGAATCAGTCCTCTACAGTGCAATAAAGTGTGTTTCTCATCAGCACGTGTATAACTGAGTTCTGAGTCAGGATCAAAAGTCATTAAGTCTGTGTATATTTTACACTGTTAGTTGTAACCTTGGGGACTCATGTAGGATGTGATGCATTGCAGAGAAACTACAGAAGTCTTAGACAGTTTTGTAATACTATAGAGAGTGCATGAGCCTGTTGCTTTTTCTACAAAAACCGATGATGGTGTTCTCACAGACTAGAGAAGACAGGACTGACTCTTCAAAGTTATTTTCCAAAAGGGTAGAAAAAGCTATTTCTTGTACATTTGTAGTAAAGACACTATATGAAGCATCAGTTTCCATCAATTTTGTTTAACAAATGCAGTGCTTAGTTAAATGCATCATTCTCAGTATGATGGACTGATGTATCCTTTTCTTCCTTAATCCTTATAGACACCTTAATATATAAGATCATAAAAACTTCGTGTAATAAATGCTGATCTAAACATGCTTTTGTTGCTGGTGGAATATGTCATTTCGTGCTCATGTAAATTCTCTTTAAGCAATGCAATAATACGTATTTCTTCTAAACAATGTGCTCATGATCTTCCCTAGCTCAAACTTCTATTTTGTAGCAGGGATAAGTGCCTTAGACCCCCACTTTGAAGAAGTTGGTATTAATAATTGATAAGCTCAGCATGACCTGCAGGTTCTCTTACTATGCATTCTCGTACAGTACCTAGCGCAAAAAGACCATGGTCTCACTGAGGTTATATGGACAATAACTGTGTTATTTGTAAATGTTCCCCACTAGCCTTTTAGTCAGACTTCCCATCTGCCTTGATGCATAGAAAATGTGCAACTGTTGTAGTATGATAGATTTATTGATAGTGCATACATTTTGATTTAAAATATTTCTTTACTCCAATGTCTTATGCCCCCAAAGACCAGGAAATTTACCAGCCTTAAATATCCTA